CGTATCTGTTGAATCCCAAGAAAATAAAAATTATGCTGTTGTTGTGGTAGGGGGGAAAGGTCTAGGTTTTAGAAGCAGATACTCAGAGAGTATCAGTAGCCAGTCTGCCTTATAGCAGAGAAGGTCCTGACATAGCTTGTTGCTCTCTCTATGTTGTTGATGCCAATTTTAAATGAATCACTATGTCAATCATCACCAAACTCCTTCAGCACATATAACCCCAGGGTGGGCTTTGATGATGCCAAGCTAGAGTCTTCAAGAAGTTGTAGGCTTCTCATATTTATCATATGGGAAAAGGTTTGATGTCAGCCCTACAGAATGGAATTCAGGCCAGACAAGTAAAACTTGAGGATGATGGCAAAAGGGGCCCACCAGGGTCTTTGTGTAAGTTCTATAAACCTCACTGAACCCTGTTTTCTTTAGCTATGAACAGAGGCAGTAGAAGTTCTACATATGGCTATTAAAAAAGTTGCTTGAGGGACCAGCAGTTAGTATAATGGCTATGTCGCTGGACTCCCACATAGTCGACCACAGTTCGAGTCCCGGACCTGGTGGCTTAAACTCATGCCGGGCATGTGTGTGTGCATGCCCAAGATCCCGAGAGGAGAATAGAGAAGGGATTGCGGGTGGCCATCCCCCCCGGGGAGTGATTTCTCGCTTTCTGTCTCTCTCTCTCTGTATGGCGAGCGCATGGGCCCTATAGCAAAAATCTTCCCCCCCCCAAAAAAAAAAAGTGCTTGAAATAAACATACAAACAAGGTTCTTTTGCAAGTTTGGTAACCAGAAAAGAAAGTGGAAGATGGCAACAATAATACAAATGGCAGCAGTAGCAACTGAAGAAAAGTGCTGAGTATTGAGCACACACCGATTTTCTGGAGCTTTCTGCTCCTATACCCTCTTTCCTGGCTATCTTCAAGGAAAGCACACGGTTAATTACTGTTTTGCTTAAAACATTGATTTTTATAAGTAATCCTTATGGGATAGCATTTCTGGCTTATCTCTTAGCTGGCTTAGCAGTTTTTTTTGGCTGGACCTATCTAATCTCACTGTTTATTTACTCAACTAAGGGATTTTATACAGTCCTTTGGGGAAAGTAAGTTATTATAATTATTTATCAGTCGTCACAATTTATTGAGTGCCTGCTCATCTTCCAAATTCAGCTCAAGAGATGTCCCTGAGGGGGAGCAGCTGGCATCCCAGGAGCTCATTGTGTCGATGCACTTCCTGGCTGGTGTCCCCAGGCAGCACCTACCCCAGATGCTTTGTCTCTCTGCATTGGTGTATTGTATCATATTGCCTTTCCAGACCCACAGCCACTCAGTCTGCATATATAGATATTCAACACGTGTCAGACTAAGGGGTGCAGGGAAAGATGTAAAGGAAAACATGAAGCCACCATCAGCATTTCTTCTCAGCACTGGTCCTCCCATTTTTTCTATTGCAGATCCATCTGTAAAATATGTTTGATCATCCTTGTTCCAAAGTGTATTCCACTTAAAAAATTTTTAATTTCCAGAGGGTGTGTGCACTTTCCAGGGAGAGGAAAAGAGAGAAAGCAGCCACCAATGGGGATAGGGTCATGCTGGAATCCTTTTTGCTCCATTCCTCCATCCTGTCAGATTTTGGGACACATACACTTGGCATGTTTTTAAAGCTGCAGGGGCCTGGAGTCAATCCACAATTGGTTGTGTGGGACCTGACTCCCAATGCACAATGCTCAACCACTGAGATACGGGGCCAGCTCTCCACTTGCTTTTCTGACGCACATGCACGTGTTGCTGCACTCTGTGAGTGAGCACTCTGTGTGTTGGAGGTTGGTGTGAGGCTCTGCTTACCACAGCAGGTACTGGGTTTGAATGGATATCATGTTTGAATGTCACACATCACAAGTCCTGGAGCTGGCAGAAGTCTTAAAGTAAGACTGGGACCTCTTTCCATCTTTTCCGTCTCATTGATGTTGGTGCTTAACTTTCTTTCTCTACTATTATGTAGTTGATTCTGTGAGCTAGTTGGATAGTATTTCACTTTTATATGCAACCAAATAAATTTAAAACTGGTTAAAAATGATCCGTCTTTTACCTAAGGCTTTTTTTTTTTTTTAGATACAGATAAAAAGGTTCTTAACTGCAGCCCTCTCTACAGTCTGCCATGCACAGGCTGTATGTCAAGCCTGATGTGGGGAAGGCAGTTTCCCTGTGAAACCTGTCAGGTATAGTTTTGTTATTACCTGACAAATCACACTTTTAACCAGAATCCAAAGTTCTCAGATAACACATTAATGCAAGATGTTAACAGTAAAGGAATAGGAGGTAGGGAGCAGTGTACAGAAACTTTCTGGTCAATTTATCTATCACTTAGGACTTCTATAAGCAACTAAAGTTGAGTTTAAAAATCTGTCTATGCCTAGAGTAGAGAATTTGAAAAATATGGAAAGATAGAAAGGAAGATAAAAAAAACAACCATAATTCTATTATCTACATATATTTATTATTATGTAGTAAATTTTTTTTCATTTAGTTTTAAAATAAAGTTTATTTCATCTATGAATGAGAGGGGCAGAGAAACAACACCAACAGAGTCCCTGACTTCCTTATTGTATTGCTAACAAAAATGCCTCAGATGGCTGAATTTAGAAGAATAGAGGAGTAGGGGCCAGCAGATGATGTAGCTGTGTGTCACTGGACTCTCACATGGCTGACCTCGGTTTGGGTCCAGAACCTGGTGATTTGAAACTCATGCCAGGTGAGTATGGGTTCACATTTCCTCTGACTATCTCTGTTTCTTTCTCTCTCCAGCGAATGCATGTGCCCTGAGGCAAAAATCTCTCTAAAATGAAAAAAAAAAAAAAAAAGAAGTTTACTTTTAACTCAGAGTTCTGGTGGCTAGCAAGTTCAGAGACATCACACATTGGCAGAAGGCAGAGCTTTTAGCAGAGCAGAGCATGGTCTGTATCCATGTGACTTTCTCTCTGCCTCATTTCCTCTCTTTATATACACATGAGCACTTGCTTATGGATGCCCTGCTTTAACCATCCGATTGTTAATCTCTTCTCAAAAGTCTCACTTTTCAGGATCAGCAGTTAGCATAATGGCTATGTTGCTGAACTTGCATGTAGTCGACTGTGGTTCAAGTCCCAGACCCGGTGGCTTAAATTCATGCCAGGTGTGTGTGCATGCATGCCCAAGATCCCAAGAGGAGAAAGGAGGAGAATGGATTATGGCATGATCAACCCCCCTGGGGGATGATTTCTTGCTTTCTTTCTCTGTCTCTCTCTGTCTTTCTGGCGATCACACACACCCTATAGAAAAAACCTTCCCCCCCGAAAAAAAAATAGTCTCACTTTTTAATACCATAATTGGATTAAGATTTTCACCCTCTTATTCCTGTTATGATGACTTAAGACATGAACTGGGATTGGGGGGCAAAGAGCATGTTTATATAATACAAGTCTCAAAGCTTGGGTCCACCTCCAACTTTAGCCAGCCTTGGATCATGGACACATCATGCCTAATGTACTCAGGGTGGTCTGTGGATACAAACCTACCCATGTGGGTCAGCCTTGAAGAGCACTGTGTTACTATGTGCCACATCTGGCCTTTATATATGTAATATATATGTGGATACGTATGTGTGTATATATATATAGATAGATAGATAGATAAATATAGATATAGTGCACACCATACATGTTTACATTAACATATCTGACATCACGGTATTGAATACTATCTATATGCTTCCAAATTTCTATCTCTAGTTTGGAATTTTTCTTCAAAATCCAGATTCAATCAGATCTAGCACTGTCTCTATCCAGAACTGAGTGCTGCCCTTTACTCACCTGTTCCCAACAAGGCAGCCATGATAGGCAAATGCACATTCAGTAAATTCCCAAGTCACCAACATGCCTGCGGTGGCCTGCAAATTCTGTTCACACTCTTTTCACCCTCTTTCCTCATATTCTATCACCTTCCTTCTCCACCCTGGCCCCTCTGATCTCCTTGCAGCTCCTGGAACACACAGAGCTGGTATCTGCCACAGGGCTTTTGCAAAGT